GTACTTCAAGTCCTGTGCAAAAACGCATGATCGCACGGGCCCGCCTGGTGCGTTTCAGCCTGGGTCAGTTTTTAGTGAAAGAAATTTGCGATGCTGCTGTTTTCGCCGATAGAAATAAAAGTTTCTAAACGGAACACACCCTTCACCTTGTGTTGGTCACTAGCTGATATTTTCGCGCGTTATTACTTACGAGGGAAGGACATCATTCTTCTGGGAACCTAATATGTATGCGGTAGGTAAAAGAGAAGCCAGTAGTTCTGTTCTGGTTGCTGCATTTCGTTAACATTGGTAGTTCAATCGCTGAAATACGACTGATGCATTTCCAGTTGCCGACAATATCTGTTGATCCGATGACTCCTGTGATTTCGGAGGAATCTACTAGCTCTTCAATGAAAATTGACGCGGAATGATTTGATGCCGCAGTGTTTTCTTCACTTCCTCACTCAGTAAGATGTTTGGGTTGTTGTGAAAATTTAGCAAATGCGTTGTTGTGCATGGTTAGTTTGTTTTATTGCATTGCACTCGTTTCTGTGCGGCTTCTGATAAAGCTGCCTGACACACCGAGGAGACGATTGGCGCTCTTTTGGGATTTGTAAATCTCGCATTTCTGCACCTTTCATCTTTAGTTTTCCTGTTGTTCAGCAAATCTTTCATTCGGTTCGTAGCATTATCAGTTTTTTTTTCAAATCAGTTCTTGCCGTTTTGTTGCTTTTAATGATCTTTTCGTTCATTTTCTGGAACGTCAAACAGCATGAAGGAGTAAACATCCTTGGTGGAGGGCGGTGCTTTTGAAGCTAACCTGAAATTTTCTAAAAATAATGTGGAAATTAATTTCGGTGGGACATCTAACCATTTGAATTTACCATAGTTTGACTTTCCCTGTAATTTTTATGGGCAGGAACATTATCGAAATTTCGTTTTCGGGTAATATGTGATTTTTTTATTACAATGATTACTTAATTGCTCTGTGCAACGTAGGAATTTGGCTCATTTGGATGTTGTCAGGGCGGGGAAATATAACTGGTTCGTTGGAATACGCGAAGCTGGAAGCATGCGAGGATGATTGATTTATAGGCATTTAGCCAAATGAGCTAAGGCATTTTTAATACTCCTTCTTGCTGGTTGTATATGGGGCTGTTGCTTATGTTTGTTAACATGATTTTTGCTGCCGAAGCATAAAAAACATCTCCATACTTTGATGTGGGGTAATGTTCAACTAGTTGATGTTTTCTTTTGCCGCAAGGGGGATTTAGAGTTGCTCCGCATACACTGGTTGTATGTAATATAATACACATGACAGTGAAATGAAGTTTATAATAATGATAAATGTGTGTTTTTTATAATTATATGTATGTGAAATGTAAAAATTAATCAACGGAACAGGTATCGATATATACATTATTAAGTGAATAAGTATATATAAAAAATCAGAACCATTTCTCTGTTTTGCCCCCGATATGAAACGAAGCCACTAAGCAATAGCTCTTGTCGATAAAATTCACGAACAGCATGGGTTTACTGACAAAGCTGTTGATCCTAGTGTTGCGTGCTCTTCACTGATATGCTAAGCATATCTTGTTTCCGAAATAATCAGTATGTATCTTCTGGGCTATTTGAGCTTTCCTTGTTCCAGCAATTTTCATTGGTATTCATAACAAACATATGCAAAGCACGCAAAACGTTAGTGGAATTACATTTTTTTTTGTTTCTGAGATGGCTAGGAGTGAAGACGCTGTGCCGGTTTTCCAGCTCTGCTGTTGGGTTTTCATCTAGTTGAGCATTACCATTTTTATCTGTACTCGGTTCAGCTGTTTTTGTTGCTAAATACGATCATGCTGCTTGATAAAATATAACAAATGGAACAATGCTTTGTTATAGTAATTAATGTTGAAAGAGGCCGTCTTAGTGTATTTAATTTGCCAGTTTTCTGGATTGTTTTGAATAATGATAATGATGATGATGTACATAGTACATGTATGTTCCGCTTCTTTTTTCTTTTTTTTTTCGACGCTTTGCGTGCTTTTGTGTGAATTGCGTGTGTTTGTGTGTGCGTGTTTCTTATCATTTTACAAATTTTCAAAAACTTTCTTACGGTGATTAGCATTTCTTACTGTTTTGCCATTCGAATGCTCTTGTTCAGCAATCATAATTTGTCATTTTGGCGTCATTTTTCTTTTTTTTTTTTTTTTTTATCTCACTGTTGGTCATTTTTGATCGTTTAAAAGGATTGTGTCTCAGTTCTCGTCTCTTAAATAGCTTCATTTTTAGTATGGCTGTTAACTGTATTTTATCACCTTTCAGCATTTTTTTTTTTTTTTGAAATAATCACAGATCTTCAGTTGTTGGGTTTTCGCTGATAAAATTACTTGTGATTTGTAAATTATTGAAGGGATTAACTCTTTCATGACCGGTTGAATCGTTTTGGAGGGAGATACCAAGGTGTCTGTGCACAGCAAGGTGTATGTGCCGCCGTAAGCATGCTTTTGAACAAGTGTCGGAAGAGGGAGGCTGCATGGATTCCCGGTAATTTATCGATCTGGCTTTTTTTTTATAAATGAATGTTTGCTAGGTGTTTTGCGGAGTCGCTTGCATTTTTCATCGGTCCCCAGGAGGCCTACTTAACCTCCGCCTACATTGTTTCATCATTTAGCGGGTTTCATTTTTAAATTATTTTTTGCGTGAAATAGTTTCATTACCGTAATCGTTGTCGTTTTTGCAGTCGTTTATGTGTTTTCGTTAAAATCCCGGAAATTGTTCATTACGTGGCAATGTCGTAATATTTTATTGAAT